TTCAACAAATATTCCCGTCATTCAACAAATATTCCCGTCATTCAACAAATATTCCCGTCATTCAACAAATATTCCCGTCATTCAACAAATATTCCCGTCATTCAACATATATTCATGTCATACTTCAGTCAAACAAAATATAAAGGAACTTCAATTATCTTGCAACATATGTAAAATATTTCGCAAGACATCTTCTAATCATTTACTAGTCAAACAAAGACGGCAGAGACGCGGTTCATGTTGTGGTCTGTAAACAAATATTGACATCATTTACGAACCTACGACTTACAATGCGACTTACCCATCGAGGGTAGGGCACATAACCCACCTCGAAGGGGGAGGGCCCATTACCTCATGGAGGGAGGGGTGAGGGCCCATTACCTCATAAAGGGAGGGGTGAGGGCCCATTACCTCATAAAGGGAGGGGTGAGGGCCCATTACCTCATAAAGGGAGGGGTGAGGGCCCATTACCCATTGGAGAGGACCCTATTACCCACGTGGAAGGCTGGTGGGAGGGCCCATTACCACATGGAGCGGGGGGAGACGGGCCCATTACCCACATGGAAGGTTCATTACCCATCGGGTGGAGGGCCCATAACCCACCAGCTTGAAGGAGGGCCAATTACCCACATGGAGGGAGGGAGGACCCAATACCACATGGAGCGGGGGGAGGCGGTCCCATTACCCACTGGGGAGGGAAGGTTCATTATCCACTGGGGGAGGAAGGTTCATTACCCACTGGGGAGGGAAGGTTCATTACCCACTGGGGAGGGAAGGTTCATTACCCACTGGGGAGGGAAGGTTCATTACCCACTGAGGGAAGGTTCATTACCCACCTGGAGGTATCTTGACGACCGTGGCGGGGTGCCAGCCATATCGCTGGTTGCAGTTGGGCGACTGCACGAAGATGCTGCAGTCCGACAGACACTCGGCGAACACCTCGCCACCGATGTAGTATAGCCGCACGCCCTTGCCTGCATCGCAGTCACATAATTACTGTCATGCGACATGTCATTAATATGTTAAAATTACTTTAAAATTTAAGGTGTTTGAATGATGTAGCATAGCCGCACGCTCTTATCTGCCACGCCGTGACATGACTACCGGTACTGTCTTTTTACATGTCACTTATACGGTATAGAGCTCAAATTAATGCAATAATGCGAATATATTTCAGTTTTCAGTGAGTACAGCAGATCTCACCGATGTGTTTACGTGTCTGCTCGACGACAGGGTTGCGGTTCACGTTAGGCAGCTGACCGAGGCAGAACCTGTCGCTGCTGCTGGGATCTGCGCGAGACAAGGCAATGCATAGCGTAAGATTAGTGGGGTACTTGATGATATGCATTAAGATATGTGAGGCAAGACGTCAGGGTACGTGAGGCAAGACGTCAGGGTACGTGAGGCAAGACTTATACACATCTAGATGTGTATAAGAGACAGGTGCACACAAATGCAGACCTGTGTGCTTACAGCTGCAGCTTAGTGCACACAAATGCAGACGTGTGTGCTTACAGCTGCAGCTATGTACACACAAATATAGCTATGTGCGTTTCATTCCTTCGTATGCCTATACATCTACACTTGTGTATTAACCAAAGCAGGTATTTGCATTTCGAAAGCAACGCGGCCGTGCGCGTACAGCTGAAATGCATACCGACACAGCTACGTGCGTATTACTGAAGCTTGATGCCGTAGATAAATATTACAGCAGCGATGATTAACAGCTATTAACACGAAAAATAATAATGAATAATAAAATGCTATAAATAACAATAATTAGAATGTAACTGCAATTTCTGCGCCAAACAAAGCTAATCAAGCGAGCAAGAATCCACTATAATAACATTCCTTTCGGCTACGACCTCAGGCCTGGCTACAGCTTAGGGAACCTGAAACCTTCTTTTTGCAAACAAAACAAGTTTCCCCTCAAGCTTGTGTTCTTAAAGACAGGTTAATAATATATCGTAGATAATAACAGTGTGAATTCATGTAGAAAATGAGATGCGATCGGCCACCTGACATCTGACGGGGATTCGACGTTAATTAAACGTTGTTTTAACATCATTAACCGGGTAGGAAGGACCGTCCATCGACCTCGAGTGGTCCGCTGCGTTCACCCTAGGAACACGTGTAATTCTCAGGCCTGGGGCCATACTTTCAAAACTCGCTAAGTGAACGTAAGTACTTATACGCTCTATTTTCTTGTCTATGATTGGTGGATTTAGCTTGAAAGGCCGTCAATGATTGGCTGATGAACTTACGATCTCTTAACTTTTTTTGAAATTATAGGCCCTGGTCAGAAAGTGCGGTGGGTAGACTGCCTGTCGCCGCTAATATAATCGCTTTCCGTGCCCGGCAAGCTAAGTGTATGCAAAGGCCTTGATCACTTCACTCCAGTGACCCTTTGCTTTTGGTAAGGCAATGAAAGGGTTTTGCCCTTTTTCATTTCACCCCATACTCATTATGGAGTTTATAAAAGGCGGTTTTTATGCAAGATTTTCTTCGCGCTTAAATTCTTCCTATACAAATACACACAAAAAGCAAGGTATATAATACTAATAGTCAACATCTTAATAAAATATTCTCCGAATCAATGAATAATTTTAAAATTTATTTTACGTAGATAGTTATTTACGAAATAGGGATGTTTACTCAGACCGTTGATAAGCCTATAACTATATATATAACACGATGGTTCGAAATATACTTAAATTAGTAAAATGAACAAGTTAGACGATAAAGCGCCTTGGAATACACATGTTACTGCTTATATTAGCAATATAGGTATATGATCAAGATAGTTTTGAGAAAACAAATCGCCAAGTTAATGCATGCATATCTAGGGAGTATTATCGAAGCAGTCAACTACGGATAAAAATTATTTGAGCGTACAATGATAAGATAAAATTCGCCTCATTTCCAATACATTAGCACGAATGGTGCAAAAATTTGTATGCACATCTATTGGTATTTAAAAAGAATATAATAATAGCATTGTTTTCATAGCCTGCAAAAAGAAATAATAGATGAAGGATTTCGTGAAAAGATCGTAGTAGATCAAATTAGATAAAAGTCCTAAATAAATAATAAAAAACAATCCACTTCATGACTTTGCGTCTCGTTATCAATGTATCCAGCTAAGTACCCGACAGTAGAATTCGATGACGTGTACTTCGTTACCAGAATTTACAACAGGACAGTTCTGCGTGCATGCAACTGTACGTACAGGCTAGAATAAGGCATGACAACGCGCGGAGTCTGGAGCACGAGACAGCACATACAGAGATCCACCCTCTTCCAGATTTTCGTGCGACTGTACACGCTGGAATAAAGCACGACAGAGCACACGGAGTCTGGAGCACAAGACAGCACATACAGAGATTCACCCTCTTCCAGATTTTCGTGCGACTGTACACGCTGGAATAAAGCACGACAGCGCACACCGAGTCTGGAGCGAGGCAGCTTATCCTGACCTAATCGCAGTCCTACGTAACAGCGGCCGCACCTCAGTGCGCAGAGACAGGTGTGGCTGGTGATTCATTCAGATCAGGTCAGCAGCGGAGTAGGACAACAGAGAAAACAGGTCAGCAGACGGAACAAATCAGAAGGAACATGTCATCAAATGGATCAAGATAGATGACAGAAGGTCAGTGACAGAACAGGTCAGAAGGTCATGAGACCGATCAGGTCAGCAGGTAAATACTCCACGCTATTACGATTAACCAGCGGTCATAATAACGAAGAAGGAAATCAAGTTAATGAATTATTTAAAGCCACTCGCAGGAGCAGTCGCAGCAATACCAACGCCCACGGGTGATAGGCACAGGGCTTTCCTGACACGTGGTTATATTTGTGCCCTTGCCACAGTTCCTGCAGTGAAATTAGGAGTCTCGAGGCTCGTGTCGCAGTTAATGCAGTGAGATAAGGAGTCTCGCAGCCTACCACAGTTCATGCAGTGAGTTTTCCCTCGGCCTGCGGCCAGCAGCAGCTCTTGATCCATACGTCTGTAAGAGAGTAGATTTACTCATCGTGCCGCGCCCCATGCCTCGCATGTATTATCGTGGATGCCGTGCGCCGTAATAGGGAGTGCACCTTACCATTCTTGACATCGACGCCCGACCCACCACCTATGAGCTGCTATGCGCTAGGGTCACCTGCGCATCATTTACGGGAGAGTTACGGCCACCATCTATAGTCTCGGACCGGTTGCTGCAACGTGATTTTTCCGTCGAATCAGGCCATGTCTTCACCGGACATGTGACTTACCCTATCATGTCCTTATATCACCGGCGATTTAAACTTTCGACTGGATCGCGTCGACGAACCATCGGCGCGTCAGCTGAACACACTGCTGTCCACCTTCGGCATGGTTTAAATTGTCAAGTGGCCTTGCAGACGCGCGACATGGGCGGAGTGCAGGACGTTGTCATCACGCGTGCTGACCTTTAAATTCAGCCAGTCGACATAATCGAGATTGCAATATCCGACCATCGTGGCAATATCCGACGTGGCAATGTGTGCACCCGGTGGCAGCGTACAAAATCGTTACCTGTCGTCCGTGGCGCGGTCTCGGCGGCGATGTCTTGCGCGAAAAACTGTAGTCGTCCCGACTTAGTAGCCCGACTCGTGGTTGACACTATCGTCAACGACCTATTGCAGCTCTAAAATACCGAGCTGAACTGAGCATTCGCTGACCTCATTCATGTACGCACAGTTCGGGTACCCCAACGAGTCTCTGACCCACGGTCCGACAATGAATGTCGGCTCTCGTGGCGGGGGGGCTACCGGATGAACAGACGCGGCAATCCTGCTGCTGAGGGGGGTCTTCGACTGCTCCAGCGGGCTGTCTATTTGGCGAACAGATGCGGTAATCTTGCTGCTACAGCTGTTGGAGCCTACACCTGGCGAGATTCGCAAAGCAATTGTGTCGACCTTCTTCGATCTAAAAGGAGTCATAAAGGAGCCAGAGAGTCGACGCGCAACATAGCGAATCTACACCGCTGTGGCGTTTTCTGGATAAACTTTGGGAAGTTGTCGTAGATGCTTCAGGAGACGTAAGCGTGGGGGGAATTCCATGCGGTTTTTGAACACACAATTTCTGCGGTGCGAGCGTCGTCAGCCGGTGCTTCGTCGGCAACATTTGCGCCAGTGCCCGTTCGACTACGTGCTCAAAGAATCTAGCGTCACAGCTGACAACGTGATCGCAGCAGTGCGCGCGCTGCCTAATAAGCAGTGTGCCAGCGATTCGCTGTCGACGTCGTTAGTTAAGGGGTTAAGGGGAATGTGCTAACCATAGCACAGTTTATGGTCGAACTTTTCAACTGCTGCCTCACTAACAGCGATGTTCCAGAGAACTTAGAATCAGCTAATTGCATTTCGCCCCTATTTAAAAATTCAGACCTTAACGCTTCTGATCCAAAATCATATCGACATGTCGATTTTGTCGAAAATCCTGGAACGCGTTTTGGTCCGACATCTGTGTAACCATCTTCAGCAGTCCGATTTCATCCCTCCAGTCTGCATACCGTCATAACTCGACGGAAACCGCCGTTCTGAAGGTGCTTTAGATATTCTGCGAGCAGTAGACCCCGGCGACATTGCGGCACTGGCTTTACTCGACCTGTCGGCATTTGACACGGTCGACCCCGCCACTCTGCAATAGATTCCAATGCGTTCGACGCAGGAACTCTTGTTCTACGCCATCGTTGGTCACTTGCGGCGTACAACAGGAATCAGTCCTCGGCCCGATCCTCTTACCATTACATACTGTCGACGTATTGCACATAATAGATTCACATAATTTGAATCCACATGAATAAAGTAGGTAATATTGAATATGTATTATGCATAGATGTTAAGACTACTAAGAATGCGGCGCGGTTGTTTCGAGACCGTGGGAAGCATTGAACGTTGGCGAGGGAAATTCCATTCGAAGGAATGTGGCGTCAGTTCGAGGGCTAGGCTTAACAGTGCGCGACTCTAGCGTATACTGTATAAGGACCTTAAAAATTCGCGCCAAGGGTTAATTGTTGGTTCTACGGCGGTGACCGTCACGCACGTACCGTCTGCAGTTAGAGGACGTAACGGCTGCGGCCGTGAGGCCGGCCGTGTTACCGTTTTCGAACATTGACGGTTGACGGTAGCGAGAAACCCAGACTTATCGAAGCAGCCAAGAGTCCGGTGAGCTCGTCAAGAAAATCAACATCGACACTACGGCTGCGACTCAGCCGTGAGAGAATGCGAGAAGCCACGAGTTGTCCAGCGGTTATAACACCTGCAGTCACGGA